CACAAAGTTACGGTGAGTGGTTGTCCTTTCGACCACCTGCGTGCCCTGGGGGTCTCGAACTTAGTGGGTTGGTGGAAACGTTTGGTCGGATAGCCACAGATTGTTATGATCCTTTCAGGCTCTGAAGAAGGGGATTTCGCCGAAACGTCAGCCTCATAAAGGATATTTACAAACCTCGTGAACAGTTCACGACAACAATAAGCGCAGAAGTATAATTATGGCAAGGTTCACAGAAAGCCGTACATGGAGTATATAAACAGACTAAAACAGCGTCGCAGATAAATTACTTCAGCTAGTGGACATCCACTTTATCATTGAGTTCAACTATACTTCATCATGGAAGGTTTGATAATTGTAAATTATTTATTTCAATCAGATATATGGATGATTTGTTGATGGTAGGGAACGACTCCAACTATATATGATCTTAAAGGCACAGTTTACAGTAATTTAGGGTTATTGAAATAATGAAGAAAGATGAAAGAGAAGATAGAGATTAATGCGATGGAAGCGAAGAAAGTACGAGAACCGGTGGTTCCAAAGAAATAGAGGGCTTCGAAAGAGTTGTAAAAAACGGAGCTGGACGAGAATAAGACTAAGAAATGACGTAGAAGGGGTGTTTGGACGAGCTACACAATGGGTGTCATTGCGTACAGCTTTGTACAGTCAAAAATGTCTTGGCGGAAAAGGCTACTGAGTAATGTTGGGAGGAAAACGTAGGAACTAAGCCTTTCCAATTAGATTGATAAAAAAATATGCAGATGTAACTTGGACTTCAGATTACGTCGAATATAATAAAACGGATCATTTCGAACTAGCTAATAGCACACTAGCTTTATGTAGTAGTACCACTGACTTGTACATTGGCGGGCCACCACAATTCGTTTAGTAAGCCGCATACCCATTCAAATCACTACGATTCTGGATATAAGCCGAATGCGGCGGCTCATCTCAGAAGCAAAATTAATTGATGCTGAAAACTCTATTTTGTATACTTCCCGGGAAGTCGACTAGTCGAAATCTAAAGATGTAATCCAAGATATAGGGCAAATTGAATGAGAAGATGATGAAGTGAAAAAATAAGTAAGATTTTATGGCATTCGAAGAGTTTCGGCTGAACTCTGAGAAACAGTCAAGAGATTCAGAGACGGAAACAAACGAACTAATTAAGTAACCCTATTTAAGAAAGGGTTCAATTGAATTGCTCTCCGAAAGAATTAAATCTGCGTTTTAATTCCATGCATAAACTAGGTATACACAAATGAAAGAGATAAAAAATGAGGTCTCTCGAGTCAATGAGTCCCGTTCTTGCTATGCGACAGAGCATTTGAATTCATTCAGAATCGTAGGGCGTATATGCGAATGTGGCCTATACAATGACTTGCGGTGGCCAACCCATGAACAAGTCTATGCTTTTAGCCTCCCAAAACTCAGTGAGAAAATACGCGGAGAGATTAGAAATCATTACTTACTACAGATTTAAAGTTTTGTTTTCTCAAATGGTGCAGTGAATAATGCTTCACGGGCTTTTTCCCAACATGATCTTACCCGGAAGACTCGGAGAACGATTTTTCTAGAGTACACGTCCAGTTACTGTACTGTCGTGAAGGGTTTCCGCATCCTCTCATAAGGTCAACGATTTTCCGCAAAAGAACCACCTTATTAGTTATACAATTCAGATTAAATCGTTCCACAGAAGCAAGGGGAACAAGGCACGCATTATTCTTGAGGTAGGAGATCTAATTCACTTTATTTCGAATTCATTTCCTTCCATGGGATTACAATTTTTATTCTTCAGTTCAGCGGG